CTCCGAGCATTCGGAAACCTCCACAGAGGTGGTGAGTACGAATCCCAGTCCTACCAGCACTCCCAGTTCACCTCAGCTCAATAAGGTTTCAGTAACTTCCAGAGGGCTGTTTGAAGGCAGCGTTTGAGTGGTAAAATGTGTTTTTCCACCAAAATTCAAAACCAAAACTGCAATTCTTTTAATTGTTTTTGTCGTATTCGATACTTAAAATTGACTCTTGACTTCCTGGTTGCTTTGAATAAACATTATAAATAAGAAACTGAAGCTTAAATGTTGGGAAGATTTGTGGTCAATCACCGCAAAAGCTGAATATGTAGCCTGCAGAAAAACAAGATTTCATTTTAATAACAAGTGGAAATGTTTTTTAGGGAGCCAAAGGAGACACCTAAAGGAATGTTAATCATCTTTGAAAAGATAAAGATGTCATACCTATTTTTTTTTTGCCCCTGAGAGAACCTTCCAAACGGATGTTTATTTGGTTTAGTTTAGTTATTTGGTTTAATGTTTAGTCCGGTACCAGTCCCCCCCCCTGTTGACGTTGGCCTCCCATGAATAACTTCCTGTGTTGGACCTGGACCCTTTAGGCTCCAGTGGGAGGGTTGGATGCTGAGTTTTCAAAGGTATTTCTCTGGTTCTGGGCTGCCATCTGTTGTCGTCTTCCAAGAAAGGCGAATTCCTCTGATTTAGCCGTGTGAGCGTCCAGAGAAGGGCCAGACTTGTTTACCCCTGTGTGGAAAATGGATTTTGTCTCAGACTGCTGCCTTTATGCTGCGTTAGCCCAGAGAGCTGGTTATGGTTCACCGTGGCTAAAACAAGCCCAGTTTTCCTTTAACTTTGCATCATGAGTAGGTTTGTCCCGATCCGATATCTGGATCCGATTGGCCGATATTCGTAAAAAACTGCGTATCGGCCAGCAGGAGAAAATACAGATCCAGACTCCAGATCCAGTTTATTTTAAGTCGATCCCACACGAGCATTAGCATTAGCATTAGCATCTGTAACCCACAGGTCTGTGTCCTAACCATTAAGTTGTTATCAGAGTAAATCCCTGTTCAACATGAGTCTGACAACTAAGTTAGTCGATAAATAACTTTAAACTTTTAACACATGCTCTGATATTTGGATTTTCAGAATTGATTTGGTACCTTTTGAATTTATCTCATATTTTTTTTATCTTTCAGATCTGTCCCATCTGCGCCGCCTTGCCGGGAGGAGACCCCAACCACGTCACAGACGACTTCACAGCCCACCTCACCCTCGAACACAGAGCGCCACGAGATTTAATATCCTTTCTGCTCATAAGCTAGGGCAGTGTTTTTCAACCTTTATTGAGCCAAGGTACAGTTTTTCATTGAAAAAATCTCGAGGCACACCACCAACCAAAAATGTCAAACAAATCTGTAGCCGC